ACTATGGTGGAACCTAAGACCTAGGAAGATTGTTTTGAGAGGGCTGATCTGCACTCAGATGGCAGAACTAAGCATCACTGTCTCAGCTCCAGACTCAGAAACAGCCCCATTACCCTGTGGACTCACTACAGCACAGTCTGGCCTTGTTCCTTCTTGAAAGCCACCTGCAAAGAACTCCAGAAAAAGTCACACAATCTAGCATTTCAGTCTCTATTATGGACCTTGAAATTACCCAGTAACTCAGAACCACCTGCCTCAACTTTGGTCCCAGACCAGCTCTGCCTGCAAGAGTACCCAAAGGGAGATATGCCTGACCAAGTCCCAGGAGCAGGCTGCCTCCACAGCCTCAGTCCCATAGCAAAGCCTGACGTTGTCCTGTATCTAGGACCAAGCCCTCCTGTGGTTGCTCTCCTGGGGCAGCTTTGCCCGCCATGGGACCTTCAGGGAGAAGGCCCATCTGAGTAACCGTGACAGGCTTGCCAAAGTCAATATCCTTGCAGATCCTAAAATTTCCTTGAAGCAAAAACAAAACAAAACAAATTTCCTTGAATCTGTGTCCCAGTCCCAATCAGTTGCAGTCTGGGAGCAATTCTGTCTGTACGGAGAACTAGACAGTAGTAAGCCTGTTAGTTCCCCAGTATGTTGACCTGCTGAACCTGGTCCCACTGTGGTACTTGAATCAGCAATGGAAATCGGCTCTGGCCATTCTTAAGTGTGCTGTGAAAGTACGGTTTCCAGCCCAGGAATCCATCAAGAGACATACATGCCTATCTGTTTCCCAGGGACAAGCATGAATACTTTGGTCTCTGCTGCGGACCATGAAGCAGCCATATAATTTGGTTCCAGTCTGTTTCAGCTGCAGAGTATGGCAGTACTGCTTGTCCAGTGATCCAATGGGAACCGACTTAGAGATACAAAGAAGCCATGCCATTCTGCATATCTGGTAACAGATGCCACTTATGGACCCTGAAGTGGACCCTCATCCCAGCACCAGCCCTAGGACCAATTTTATGAACCCACTGGAGTCAACTCAGAAATGATAGAAGATTCATATTCTGGAGCGTCCTGGTAGCAAGGCTGTCAACCATGAAACCCACTGTGGACCCAATAGCAGCCATGTGACCCAGCTCCAATCTGACTCAGCTGCAATCTGGGAGGCAACCCCATCAGCCTGGGTACCTAAAGGGGGTAGGCATTAACATGCTGAAGTAGTCTGTAAGGATTGGAAGAGAAGTTTGCTACATCAAATGCACAGACACCAAATGCAAGGCTACACAGGTAACAAAGAATGAGGCAAACATGACACCACTGCAACTGTTCTCAGGGAAATGGGTATCTATGAAATAAAAATAGAAACTGTAAAGAAGAAGCAAACAGAAATCCTAGAGCTGATGAATACAATGACAAACTCAAAAATTCAAAGGAGCATTAATAGCAGAGTCAATCACACAAAAGAAACAATTAGTGAACTCGAAGACAGGTCATATGAAATTAGCCAATTAGAAGAACAAAAAGAAAAAAGGTCAAAAAGAGTGAAGAAACCATAGGGGACCTATGGAATACCATCAAATATATGAATATATGAATTATGGGGGTGAAAGAGAAGAGAGAGAGAGAAAGATGCAGAAAGATAAAGAAACACTGGGTAAAAATTTGCCAAATCTTGGCAGAGATTTGGACATCCAGTCCATGAACTGAAAGGACTTCAAGAAAGATCAATATAAGGAAAGAATATTCTGAGACACATTATCAGAAGTTGTCAAAGAGAGAATCTTGAAGGCAGCAATAGTAAGAGACTTGTTACATATAAGAAAATTTCCATAAGGCTCTCAGACTTCTCAACAGAAACTCCCTTTTTAGCCAAGAGGGAGTGGCATAATATATTCAAAATGGTGAAAGAAGGCCAGGCATGGTGGCTCATGCCTGTAATCCCAGCACTTTGGGAGGCTGAGGTGGGTAGATCAGCTGAGTTTAGGAGTTTGAGACCTGCCTGGCCAACATGTTGAAACGCCATCTCTGCTAAAAATACAAAAATTAGCTGGGCGTTGTGGTGCGCACCTGTAATCCTCAGTCTACTTGGGAGACTGAGGCAGGAGGATCGCTTGAACCCAGGAGGCAGAGGTTGCAGTGAGCCGAGACCATGCCATTGCACTCCAGCCTGGATGACAGAGCGAGACTCCAGCCTGGATGACAGAGCAAGACTCCATCTCAAAAAAAAAAAAAAAAGAAGAAGAAGAAGAAGAAGAAATGAAGGAGAGAGAGATATTCCAAGACAAAGTTGAGAGTTCATTACCACATGATCCACATTACCAAAAATACTAAAGTTCTTCAAGTTGAAAGGAAAAAGCATCAAATAACATAAAATTGTAGGAGTCTAAAACTCTTCAGGAAAGGTAAATACACAGTCATATTCACAACACTCTAATAAGGTAATGGTGGTATGTTAATCACCTTGAACTCTAGTTAGAAAGTTAAATGACAAAGTTTTCAACGTCAAAATCAGTCTAAATTAGATAAGATGTTTTATATAGGTTCCATAACAGTTATAAAGAAAAAAATCTAGTAGATACATAAAAAATAAAGGCTCAAAACATACCACTACAAAAATTCAATAGATCATAGGGTATATCAACAAGAACTGGAAAAAAGGATTAAGAGACATATAAAACAGTTAAGTAAGGAATTAACAAAATGGCCAAAGTCAATCCTTATTTACCAATAATTAATTATTTTAAATGTAAATGGTAAAACCTCCAATCAAAAGACCAATAACCTCCAATAAACAAAACCTCCAATAACCTCCAATTATTGAATGAATAAATACAAGAATAAATAAAAACACAAGATCCAACAGTATGACACCTACAAGAGACTCACTTTGGCCTTAAGAATGCAAGTAGATGAATGGGAGTGGTGGCTCACACCTATAATTCCAGCACTTTGGGAAGCCAAATTGGGAGGATCACTTGAGCCCAGATGTTTGTGACTAGACTGGGCAACACAGGGAGACCCAGTCTCTAGAAAAAATAAAAAGAAAATTAGCTGGGTGTGGTGACAAATGTCTGTGGTCTCAGCTACTCAGGAGGCTAGGTGGGAGGATCACTTGAGTCCAGGAGGTCAAGAGGCTAGAGTGGGCCCTGATCCTACCACTGCACTCCAGCCTTGGCTACAGAATGAGACCCTGTCTCAAAATACAAAACACAAAAGAAAAACACACACATACACGTAGACATAGACAAAAATAAGGGAATGGAAGATATTCCCCACAAATGGCAACAAAAGAGAGCAAGGGTAACTATATAGTCAACCACTAACAACATGGGTTTGGAGCACATGGGTCTATTTAGAAATATCAAAAAGTTAGGTTATGTCATGACTGCATAATGTTAGATATAAGTCTATTTTTACATCTGCTACCATAAAATATACACAAATTATACTTAAAATTTATCAAAACGTAGGCACACAAACTGTATATGACACCATTCAGCCAGAAATGTAAACAAATGAAAGATGCAATATTAAATTGTAACTGCATAAAATTCACTGTAATAATTTCATAGTCACCTCGTGTTGCTATTGCAGTTAGCTCAAGTATTGTGAATATGTGCTTAAAACGCTGTGAGATGCTAGTCATCTCCTTGTGAGCAGTTCATCTTCCCAGTAAATTGTGTATTGCAGGAAAAAGTGATCTCTTATAGTTCTTGTGTTATTTATTTATTTATTTATTTATTTATTTATTTTTGTGAGACAGAGTCTTGCTCTGTCGCCCAGGTTCGAGTGCAGTGGTGTGATCTCAGCCCACTGCAACCTCTGCCTCCCAGGTTGAAGCAATTCTCCTGCCTCAGCCACTGAGTAATTAGGATTACACCACCACAGTCAGCTAATTTTTGTATTTTTAGTAGAGACAGGGTTTCACCAGGTTGGCCAGGCTGGTCTCAAACTCCTGACCTTGTAATCCGCCCACCTCAGCCTCCCAAAGTGCTGGAATTACAGGTGTGAGCCACCGTGCCAGGCCTCTTTTGTATTGTGATTGCAATACTGTAAACCTTGAATAACACCATGGAACCCATATGAAGTGCCACTAGTGATGCTGGAAGTGCTCCAAAGAAGCAAAAAATAGTTATGACATTACAAGATAAAGCTGAATCGCTTGATATGTACTGTAGACTGACTGCAGCTGTGGTTGTGTGTCATTTTAGAGAGACGATTCATGTTGCAAATGGACTATGTAAATGCATGGTATTGACAAATACAGTACTGTAATTGTATTTTCTTTCTTTCTTTCTTTCTTTAATTACATTTTTCACCGTGTTGGTCAGGCCGGTCTTGAACTCCTGACCTCAGGTGATCTGCCCGCCTTGGCTTCCAAAGTGCTTGGATTACAGGCGTGAGCCACCACGCCCAGCTCTTTCTTCTTTTTTGAGATGGAGTCTCACTCTGTCACCCTGGGTAGAGTGCAGTGGTGCAATCTTGGCTCACTGCAACCTCCACCTACTGGATTCAAGCAATTCTCCTGCTTCAGCCTCCTGAGCAGCTGGGATTACAGGCGCCTGCCACAATTCCCACCTGATTTTTGTATTTTTAGTGGAGACAGTGTTTTACCATGTTGGCTAGGCTGGTCTCAAACTCCTGACCTCAAGTGATCCACCCACCTTAGCCTCCCAAAGTGCTGGGATTACAGGCATAAGCCTCCATGCTGGGTGTATTTTCCTTATGATTTTCTTTTCTTTTCTCTAGCTTACTTTATTGTAGGAGTATTGCATATAACACATATACCATTCAATATATGTGTTAATTGCCCTTATGTAATTAATAAGGCTTCCATTTCAACAGTAGTCTATTAAATTTTTAGGGAGTCAAAAGTCATATGTGGACTTTTGACTACACGGTGAGTTGTCACCCCAACCCCCATGTTGTTCAACGGTCAATTGTACTTTTATCAGACAAAACAGAATTTAAGTCAAAAAGTATAAGAGCCAAAAAAAGTCATTAAAGAATTATAAAGGGATCAATTTATGAAGGAGATGTATCAGTTGTAAATATGTATGTACCCAACACTGGATCATATAAATATATAAAGCATGCATTAAGAGATCTGAAGGGTCAAATAGACTGCAATACAATAATAGAAGGGAACTTCAAATCCTACTTTCAACAAAGGAAAGCTTATTCAGCAGGAAATCAATAAGAAAACACTGGAATTAAATTTTACTTTAGACCAAATGGACCTATCAGACATATACAGAGCATCCCATCCAACAATAGCAGAATACATATTCTTCTCAAGCATACATAAAACATTCTCCAGGACAGATAAACATATTAGGCCAAAGAACAAGTCTTAAGAAATGTAAGGCAACTGAAATCCTATCAAGCACCTTTTTCAACCACAGTGGTATTAAGCCAGAAATCAACAACAGGAGGAAGTTAGGTAAATTCACAAATATATGAAAATTAAACGACATGAAACTAAGTAACCAATAGGTCAAGGAAGAAATTAGAAGTTTAATTTAAAAATATTTTGAAATAAATGTAAAAGGAAACAATATACCAAATCTTAAGGAATGCAGGGAAAGCAGTTCTAGGAGGGAAGTTTATAGGAATAAACACTTTCATTAAGAAAAGAGAAAGATCTCGAACAAACATTACTTCTCAAGGAACTCAAAAAAGAACAAATGAACCTAAGTTAATGAAAGGAAATAATAAAGATCAGAGTAAAAATAGAGACCAGAGAAACAATATGGGAAGATTAACAAAACTAAGAGTTGATTTTTTGAAAAGATACACAAGATTGAAAAACCATGAGACTAACAAAGACAGGGGAAGGGAGGGTTGGAAAAAAAAAAAAAAAGAACAAAGGACAAAAAGAGGAAAAACTCAAAAATCAATGAAGTCAGAAATGAAAATGGAGACATTACAACTCATGCCACAGAAATACAAAGGATCACAAGAGACTACAATGAACAATTAGATGCCAAAAAAATTGGATAACCCAGAAGATTAATTCTTAAAACACATAACCTACCAAGAGTGAATCATGAAGAAACAGAAAAATCCAAACACATCAGTAATGAGTAAAAAGACAGAATAAAGAATACAAAATCTCTGATCAAAGAACAGCCCAGGACTTGACGACAGCTTGATTGCTGTATTCTACCAAACAGTCACAAAATACCACTTCAGAAACTCTTCCAAAAGTTATAGAGGAAGGAATACTTCCAAGTTACTGCAGTATCACTCACAATACCCAAGTGTTAACCAGTAGAGGAATAGATAAAGAAAATGTGGTATGCATCACAATGAAATACTACTCAGCCTTAGAAAACAAGAAAATCCAGTCATTTGTGATAACATGGGTGAAACTAGAGGGTATGATATTAAGTGAAATAAGCCAGGCATAGAAAGGCAAACTTGCATTATCTCAACTATTTGTGGAGTGTCAAAAAGCTGAAGTAATAGAAACAAAGAGTGGAATGCTGGTTACCAGAGGCTGGGACAGGAGTGGAAACAGGGACATGAACGGCTATAAAGGTTTAGTTGGAATGGAGGAATAAATTCTCTATATCTATTTTACAACCTGGTGACTACAATGAATAACAATGTATATTTGAAAATGCTAAGAGTAGATGTTAAATGTTCTGATCACAAAAATAATAGCTAGTAAGGTGAAGGATATGTTATTTACTTTGATTTCACCACTCCACAAGGCATACATAAATCAAAACATAATGTTGTACATGATAAGCACATAATTTATCTGTCAAATAAAAATAAAAAATAAAGGATGTCATTTTAATAAATAAAACCATCAATTCAAATAAATAAATTAATAAAAAGAACTATATGTAGCCCATAAATCACAATATTTACTGAACCTTTTAATGGAAAAAATTTGCCAACATCTGTCCTAGATCCAGAACTTCATTCAAAATCAAACCACATTGCTCCTCATAGTGCACACAAAGCAAGTGGAAAAACAAACCCTAAAGCTGTCAGCTTCAAAGAAAACATAGTAAACAGAACAGATTTCAGTTTATTGATTACTTGGAAAACATTTACACCTTTGATGACACAGAAGTTTGCTCAAACTCCACTCTTGAAAGCCTCACAAAACTGACAACCTTGTCACGTCGTCAAGCCACATACTTTCCTGCTGTGATATGAAAATCAGGCCTAGGGAAAAGACTAAAGACCGGTGGTGTTGGGTTCCACTTAAAAACGAATCCTTTCCTCACCAAACCACACTCTAATATAAAGCACTAATGTTAAGCTCCAGGAGGTATTTTTCTTTGTTGAGACAGAGTTTCACTCTTGTTGCCCAGGCTGGAGTGCAATGGTGCGATCTCGGTTCACCGCAACCTCTGCCTCCTGGTTTCAAGTGATTCCCCTGCCTCAGCCTCCTGAGTAGCTGGGATTACAGACATGCACCACCATACCTAACTAATTTTGTATTTTTAGTAGGGATAGGGTTTCTCTGTGTTGGTCAGGCTGGTCTTGAACTCCTGATCTCAGGTGATCCATCTACCTCGGCCTTCCAAAGTGCTGGGATTACAGGTGTGAGCTACCATGCCCGGCCTCCAGGAGGTATTTTTCTATACCATCAGATTCTTAGAAGAGCAGAGCGCACAGAAAGAGCTACACAATTTGCCAAACAGGTACATGAATAACATTCAGAAGAGAAGACTTGGGCAATGAGGAGTACATTGAGGGATATACCTGTATGAACCCTCTCGCACCTCCTTGGAAAGAATGACTGGGATAAATTGTTATAGTGAGAATAGTTTGGGGCAAGGAAAGTAAGTAGTCCTGTCTTATAAACACTAATCATTTAATGAATAAAAGGTAATTCACTTGAACCTTAATTTTAAGATGGGTAAATGATTCTTCCTCTCAAGGGATGCGTTTTCAGAAGGATGTTGGTTTAGGGGAAAAAGGAGGATAAGAATGAGAAGCTAGGGTCTTTCCAGGTGCACAGCCTACGTTAGAAAATATCTCATAAGGCACATCTGCCCTCAGGCCATTTCTATAACAATCAGAAATAAGAGGGTACTGGGATCAGAGTATTTCAGAAATTCCTGGGGTCTACACTGTATTAACCGGGGTTGTAGACTGGGTAGGTGTCCTCCCTCTATATGGATGGTCACCCTGCATGGGCCCCATTGCCCCCAGGATACTTGCACACCTGTCACAATTATGGGGACAGAGCTGGCACATGAACTCCACGCAAGTGTGTCTTCTATTCACACCTGAGGCCCCAGTTACCCCTGCTGATACCAATGCACACGCACACACAGACACGTATTTCCAAGTGAGTCAGAGCACCAACTGGCAAAAATGACTGAAACGCCAAGCGAGGCCCTGTAAATACCGACAGTTGTCTTGAGGCTGCTTCCTTTTATGCCTTGACAGGAGTGTGAATTTTACTTCTGATCTTGTCCTTCAAGCCATGATGGCCCAGCAAGCAAGTGTTAATTCACCTTACACTGTTGGTCTTTCCTTTGCATCAAACATTATTAGAAAAATACAAGTTATAAAACAAATTCCATTTGTCTACACATGGAGCCTGTGAATTCAGAATTCTTTGGTCTTGGCCATGGTAAGTGAATTCTTGCAGAATCTGGTCGTTTAAAAGTACACGGCATTCCCCCCATCACCACTGCGTCCCAACCTTACCCCTCCTTCTGCCATGTGATGTGCCTGCTCCCCCTTCACCTTCCAAGTAAAGTGGAGTAAAAGCTCGAGGCCTCCCTAGAAGCCAAGTGGATGTCAGATGTCGATGCCATGCTTCCTTTTCAGCCTTCAGAACCATGAGCCAATAAACAAACACCTTTATAAATGACCCAGTCTCAGGTATTTCTTTATAACAATGCAAGAATGACTCAACACAGTGGGTGCTGTCAGAATGATGTTCCTTCCTAGCACCTCTCAGGGGACATCACCTGGAATTCTCGACAGTCCTTGATCACAGGCTACCCCGAGCTGCTTCTATTCAGTTTGCTCTCCTTGTTGGGTTATAAACAATGTACAGGTATCAGCTGTGTACTTTTAGTTATTATCTCATTCTTAGTGCTAATATCACAGAGTTTGGTGTACTGCAGACACTAAGTCTGATTTTGACTCAAAATCCTGGTTTTCAAAATTTATCCAAAGTACACAGCTACAGTCATACACAAATATTTGTGCAAGAATATTCAGGGAATTTTTTTCTCTGTGAATTATCTTTAGAATGGAGATAAAGATTCATATGCAGCTGTAAGAAACAATACAGTGAGAGAGATCCTGTTTACCTTTTACCTAATTTACACCAATGACGGTTGAACTACAGTGTAACACCACAACTAGAACACTGTTGTCAGTGCAATCAGTTGATATTATTCTACTTCTCCAGAGAATACTTTTTAAAAAAATCAAAAAGAGGCCAGGCGCGGTGGCTCACACCTGTAATCCCAGCACTTTGGGAGGCCAAGGCGGTGGATCACGAGGTCAAGAGATCGAGACCATCCTGGTCAACATGGTGAAACCCCGTCTCTACTAAAAATACAAAAAATTAGCTGGGCATGGTGGTGCATGCCTGTAATCCCAGCGACTCAGGAGGCTGAGGCAGGAGAATTGCCTGAACCCAGGAGGCGGAGGTTGCGGTGAGCCGAGATCGCGCCATTGCACTCCAGCCTGGGTAACAAGGGTGAAACTCTGTCTCAAAAAAAAAAAAAAAAATTAGCTAGGTGTGGTGGCGTGCGCCTATAGTCCCAGCTACTTGGGAGGCTGAGGCAGAAGCATTGCTTGAACCCGGGAGGCGGAGGGTGCAGTAAGCCAAGCTTGCACCACTGCATTCCAGCCTGGCACCTGGCAACAGCGCGAGACTGTCTCAAAAAAAAAAAAAAAAAAAAAAAAAAACCAACATAAAAAAGATAGGCTGGGCATGGTGGGTCATGCCTGTAATCCCAGCACTTTGGGAGGACAAGGCAGGCAGATCACCTGAGGTCAGGAGTTCGAGAACAGCCTGGCCAACATGGTGAAACTCCATCTGACTAAAAATACAAAAAAAATCATCCAGGCGTGTTGGCAGGCGCCTGTAGTCCCAGATACTTGGGAGGCTAAGGCAGGAGAATCGCTCAAACCCAGGAGGCGGAGGCTGCAGTGGGCCGAGATTGTGCCACTGCACTCCAGCCTGGGCAACAGAGCAAGACTCTATCTCAAAAAAAAAAAAAAAAAACCTCACAGTAGAGGACAGATCAAATAAATAAATAAGGGCCGGGCGCAGTGGCTTACGCCTGTAATCCCAGTACTTTGGGAGGCCAAGGCGGGTGGATCACGAGGTCAAGAGATCGAGACCATCCTGGTCAACATGGTGAAACCCCATCTCTACTAAAAATATAAAAAATTAGCTGGGCATGGTGGTGCGTGCCTGTAATCCCAGCTACTCAGGAGGCTGAGGCAGGAGAATTGCCTGAACCCAGGAGGCGGAGGTTGCGGTAAGCCGAGATCGCGCCATTGCACTCCAGCCTGGGTAACAAGAGCGAAACTCCGACTCAAATAAATAAATAAATAGATAAATAGATAAATAAATAAATGCATGCTGATCTGCTATATCATGACATAAAATACATTTACTAATGATACTGATCCATATAATTGAGACAGCATTTATGATGAATTACCAAGTAAAGAAGGTAGGTTTAAAAGGTACGTATAATTTGGGCAGAGGTACTTTGGTGAAATTAAGAACACAGACTCTGTGGTACAACTTTCAGGGTGTGAATCTAAACTCTGACAGTTATATCCTCACAGTGGAATTCAGATTCCACTGGTGAAGCCAGAATACAAATACTAGAAGCAGCAGCTATCTCAATTATCAAGTAAGATAATCTACATAAAAGATAATGACACATAACAACTGCTTTATGTGTTAGCTGTTATTATTAAAGATCAATGATATTACATGCCCATTAATCCATTTTTAGAAAAGAAACACAAGGCTGTTGTTTTTTTCTTGTGCTAAAATACATGCTTCTCAGTCAGCTATCAATATCATGAATGCCAACTAAAAATAGCTTTCCAAGCCTGATGTTAAGCATGAATTTATTTTAATCAGCAAAATTACCAAAAATGATTCTAAGACACATAAGAAAATGTTCCCTCTCTACCAGCAACCAGGGAAATAGAGGCATGATTCTGCATGAGAAATCAAGTTTAAAGACTCTAATCTAAAAAAGGATACCAAACTGAGAATATTAGCAAGAGAATGAATCATGTGTTCTATGTGATACGGGAGATTTATGTAATTATTTCAAATTATTGCTATCTTAGTCATTTCATATATTTGGATTTCATATCTTGGATTTGTTACTTATACATGTAATCATGGAAATGTTACTTGTATAATATGTATTTGTAAGGCATCAGACGTCACTGATTATCATTTTTTGTCAAAGAAACATTAAAATCACAGAAAATCTAATTCTGAAACCCTCTCTTTCTTGACAATTTGCAGTCAGTTTGAAATGGCATATCTCTAATCCTATAAGATGTAAACACATGAGGTTTTTCAAAGCAGGAGAAAGATAACTGGCATGCCTCTCTCCTCTCCACATGTGCACAAATGTAATGTGACCCATGGCTGGGTTGGATTTCATTTACAAACTATAACTTAAAGAGTCTTTAACTCTTACTTGGTATATTCTCAGGAGTTTTGGGTAAAATAAAAAAAATAAATAAATAAAAATAAAGAGTCTTTAACTCATTTACATGATCAATTAGCAGGATTTAATGCTCCAGAAACACACACACGTTTAGTCGGGAGTGGGAGACAGGAAACATAGAAAATGTTAACAGTAAGTATCTCTGGATGGTACAATTGGGAGTAATTTTGAGTTTCTTCTTTATGAGCTCTTATGCAAACTAATTTTTTTCATAGCAGGCCTGCATGAATTGCATTATAAGAAATATAAAAAACAGGGATCTGGGAAAAAAAATAAAAAACAAAAACAAACAAACAAACAAACAAACAAATAAATAAATAAATAAAATATAACTTAAGGAAGTCCTAAATGTAAAAAAATGATTACTTGGGCTGGGCACAGTGGCTTATGCCTGTAATCGAAGCACTTTGGGAGGCCAAGGTGGATGGATCGCCTGAGGTCAGGTCATTGAGACCAGCCTGACCAATATGGTAAAAACCTATCTCTACTAAATATACAAAAATTAGCCGGCCACAGTGGCACGCACCTGAAGTTCCAGCTACTCAGGAGGCTGAGGCAGGAAATCACTTGAACCTAGGAGGCGGAGGTTGCAGTGAGCCAAGATGGTGCCACTGCACTGCAGTCTGGGCAACAGTGACACTTCAGCTCCAAAAAAATAAAAATAAAAATAAATTTAAAAATGATTACTCACGTTAAAAGAAATCAGAGTTATGAAGGTGCTGGTACCCTGTAGTTATTAACGAATGTTTGAATGGATAGGCTTGTGGAAAGCAAAATAAGTGTATCTCAAAAATGTCCATACCCTAATTCATGAATGCGGGCATATGTGTTGTTGCATGGCAAGGGAAATTTCAGTTGTAGATGGACTTAAGTTGCTAATCAGCTACCCTTAAGATGGGGACATTATCCTGAATTGTGCCAGTGTGCCCACTGTAATCACAGAGTCATTAGAAGTAGATGACGGGGGTCAGAAGAGAAATAGGTAATGACAGGGGCAGAGACAAAGAGAGGTGAAGTGAGAATGACTTGTCTGTGCTGACTGTGATAACACTGAGTTGGGGGGACCCAAGGAATGCCAGCCTCTAGAAGCCAGGAAAGGAAGGAAACAGAAAGGCTCCTAAAGTCTGCAAAAAGGAACACAGCCTTTACATCTCGGTTTTAGCCCTATGAAGCCTACATGACTTCTGATGGCTTAAGATAAATTTTGTTGTTTTAAACTACTAAATCTGACGGTTTGTTACAGCACAGAAAGAAACTGACACTAAGCCTAATATTGGAAAAACAGAGTGACTGAAGCAAATGTCACCTCCCTGATTGTGAAGATCCTTTCACTATGTCTTGGCAATACTTATGAAATGAGGCAAAAGCAGTTCTAATAGGGAAGTTTAAAGCAGTAAACACCTACTTTAAAAAAGAAAGCCCTCAAACAACCTAACATCACACCAAAAGGAACTAACAAAAGAATAAACTAAGCCTAAAGTAGTAGAACAAAGTTAATAATTAAGGTAAAGGCAGAAATAAATAAAAGAGTAGAACAACAACAGAAAAATATCAATGCAACTGTTTGCTTTTTAAAATATAAACAACTCACAAACGTTTAACTAGACTAACAATGAAAGAATGAGAGAATATTCAAACTAAAAAATCAGAAATAAGAGACATTACAAGTCATACTACAGTAAAACAGAGGACCACAAGTGACTACTATGAAAATTTATATGCCAAAAAAATTGAATAATGTAGAAGAATTGAACAAATTCCTAGTAATATACAATCTACCAAGATTGAATCACGATGAAATACAAAATCTGAACACACCCACAACAGGTAAGGAGGTTGAATAAGCAAATCTCTCCTATGAAAGACCAGGACCTGATGCACTCACTGCTGAATTCTACCAAACATTCAAAAACCTAATACAACGCTTCTCAAACTCTTCCAGAAAATTCAAGAGAAGGGACTATCTCCAACCTCATTTTATAAGACCAGCATGACCAAACCCAACAAGGACGCTGCAAGACAAGAAAAATTAGCGGCCAATACCTCTGATGGACATAAAAGCAACAATTTTACTCAGCAAAATACTAGCAAAATGAACTCAGCAGCATGTAAAAAGGATCATTCACCATGATCAAGTAGGATTTATCCAGGAATGCAAGTATAGTTCAACATATACAAATCTATAAATGTGATATAGCACATTAACAGAATGAATAGTAAAATCCACATGATCATCACAATAGATGCAGAAAAAGCATCTGACAAAATTCAAAAGCGTTTCCTAATATAAACTCTCAACAGGTTCGGTATAGAGAAATGTACCTCAATATAATAAAGGTGATATAACACAAGCAGTTAACTAACATCATAATCAATGGTGGAAAGGTGAAAGATCAGGAACAAGACAAGGATTCCTACTCTTACTACGTCTAATCAATACAGTACTAGAAGCCTTAGGCAGAGCAATTAGACAAGAAAAGAAATAAAATCGGCAGGGTGCAGTGACTCACGCCTGTAATCCCAGCCCTTTGGGAGGCTGAGACGGGTGGATCACTTAAGGTCAGGAGTTTGAGACCAGCCTGGCCAACACGGCGAAACCCCATCTCTACTAAAAATACAAAAATTAGCTGGGCATAGCAGTGTGTGCCATAATCCCAGCTACTTGGGAGGCCGAGGCCGAAGAATTGCTTGAACCCAGGAGGCGGAGGTTGCAGTGAGCTGAGATTGTGCCCCATTGCACTCCAGCCTGGTGACAGAGCGAGACTCTGTCTCAAAAAAAAAAAAGAAAAGAAATAAAAGCCAATCAAACAGGAAGGGAAGAAGTTAAACTGTCCCTGTTCGCAGATGACATGATCTTATACATATAGAAAACCCTAAAAATTCCATCAAAAAATGATTAGAAATAATAAAGGAATTCAGTAAAGTTATAGTAGCAACATCAACATAAAAAAATCAATAGTATCCCTATACACTAACAATTCTTTGAAATAGAAATCAAGGCTGGGCATGGTGGCTAATAGGCAAATGAATCGCATCCAATTAAAAAACTTCTGCACAGCACAACAATCAGCAGAGTGAAGAGAGAACCTATGTATTTGAAGGAAATATGTGCAAACCATACATCTGATAAGCAGTTAATATTCACAATGTATAAGAAACTCACACAACTCAGGAGTGTGAAAAAAAAAGTGATTAAAAATTAGGCCAAAGGCAGGGCATGGTGGCTCACATTTGTAATACTAGCACTTTGGGAGGCCAAGGTGAGCGGATCACTTGAGGTCAGGAGTTCAAGACCAGCCTGGTCAACATGGTGAAACCCCATCTCTACTAAAAATACAAAAATTAGCCAGGCATGGTGGCATGCACCTGTAATCCCAGCAACTCAGGAAGCTGAGGCAGGAGAATCACTGGAACCCAGGGGGTGGAGGTTACAGTGAGCCAAGATTGTGCCATTGCACTCCAGCCTGGGTAAACAAGAGCAAAACTCCATCTCAAAATAATAATAATAATAATAATAATAATAATAATAATATGTATATGTAGTATATTTGAAAATTGCTAAGAGAGTATCGTTTAAATGTTCTCATGACAAAAATAATTATTGAGGTGACGGATATGTTCATCAGCTTGATTTAATCATCATAATGTATACATATATCTAAACACATACACAATAAATCAATTTGTCATTTGCCAATTATTTAAAAATTTAAAAAAATTAACCATGTTAAAAAAGTAAATAATGACTACCATAATAAAAAAATAAACAAAAGACCAAAGATATCTGGTGTTTCCTTCCACCTAAAACCAAATCCCTTCCTTACCAAGCCACACTGTAATATAAAGTGCTAGAATTAATCTCTTCTATACCATTAGACTTGTAGACAAGCAGAGTACACAGGACTTGAACCATTTGACAAACAGGTAGGTGACTACTTAGAGAAGAGGGTGGGTCAATGGAGACTACGAGGAGGAATGACCTGCAGGGCCCTGTCATATCTGGGGAAGAATTCGGATAAATGGCTATTTGGAGGGATATGTGCCACAGGAAAGTAAATAGTCCTAAGTTGTATAAACACACATCACTAAATGAACAAAAAGGTAACTCACTGCTACTTGGCTTTGGGACGTATAACAGTTCTTCCTCCTCTGGGATGCTTTTCTTGAGGGCCAGATGGCCTAGAGGGGAAAGGAAGATCAGAATGAGGCACCAGAACCTTTCTGGATCACAAGTTATGTTAGAAAATAGTGCACACCCACCCCCAGGTCACAGCTAAAATCCATCAGAAATAAGAGGGCACAGGGATCTGAGTTTTTCAGAGAAATGCTGGGAGACTGGGCCTTTCTAGGAACTGGGGTTCTGAAACATGGAGCTGCCCCTCTCACCGCCTCCCATGCAGGTACCTCTTTCCTCCCCAAAGGGAATTCTATTCCTGAGGTTACTTCCTCTTGTTTCTGCATGGAGAGCTCTTCTGGCTCCAAAATTGCCATCTCGTGGCTCCTTGTGAACTCTTCTTCCTGGTCATTTTCACAACAGCGTTGAGGCTCTCACGTCACTTTGGGACCACTGCTCTCTAGCAAGCACCACATGGTTGGAAGGCGAGGGCACAGCAAGCAGCGGAGACACTAGAAATACAGATGACACAGTCGCACACACCGGTGCTCACCCAAAGTCCAAGCACACAGGCCCGATCCCGACCTGTCACAGCGGCACACTCGCTGTCCCTTTCACACCTTTCACACCCGCAAACGCCCACGCCGGACAGACACTGCCTGTCCCTGTCAACCCGACAGAAGTGCAGAAGCACATTTCAGAGGCACGGAGACCCGTCCTGGCCGTGCCACCCTCGCAGAGCCCACCGGCATTGACCTCACACGGAGTGGAGGTGCAGAGAGACACAGTCCGGCTGCGTCACCCCTACAGGTGCCCTTACAGCCCGGCCCTATGGCCCTCACAGGCGTCCACACACATCGTGTCACAGTTTATGGGTACAGGGCCCGGCCGTGTTAACCCCGCATGCCTCACAGCGATGGGAAGAGGGGGCTGGTTCGCGTTACCCCAGAGACGCTCGCATTCACTTAACTCAGTTACTGGGCCACGGCGGGGGGACCCGCCAGGCAACACACACACACACACACACTCCTCTCTTCTCTCTCTCTCTCTCTCTCTCTCTCTCTCGCACTTCCCCTTCCCAAGCCTCAGGCCGAAACTTCTTCATTTTAGGGCCTCCTCGTCCCAAGTGGCTCCCTCACCGCCATTCCCCGCGGAACCCCGCCCTGGCTTTCTCCTGAGAGGCAAATAGCTCCCGGCTCGGGGCCTAACCACACCCGGGACACGACAAGATGAAACAGGGCCTCAGGCGCAGTCGTGACAAGGTCCGGGGGCAACCATTTTTAAAAATTCCGCGAGGATGAAGCACGCCCCTCAGCCGGCGATGGGGCTTGCTCTTCATTGGACTGTGCCCCAGAGGCCTCTGGGAAATGAAGTCCGTAACCCGGGAATCCACAGAGTTGGAAGCGGCCGCCAGGATTTCCCAGCATGCAACTCAACACGGTCTTAAGGACGCGGTGCCTTGAGGGCTTCTTGAGGAAATGTAGTCCATAACCAGGGAATCGACGTAGCTGGAAGGGCGCCCATCAGTGTTTCGCAGCGTGTAAGAGGACACGGCCCTAATGGAGCCGTGCCCCAGCGACCTCTGGGAAATGCTCACTGCGCGGGAATCCTCAGCGTTAGAAGCGCGGCTCTCAGAAAGCTCTTCGTCGGTGTCTCTTCCCACTGTTAGAGCAGCTGCGCCTCACAGACTTCAGGGGAAGCGTATTTCAGATTGGGAGAATCCTCAAATGCTGGAAGCCATCGGCTTTCTCCCGTCCTGAAACTTCTGCTCCTAAAAAGCACCACAAAAAAACTCCTGGGAAAAGTGGTTAAGGCCTGGGAGCCTACAGTTCTAATTGCTCCCAACTTGCATTTGGGATCCGTCTGTAGGGGAGGCATGACCCCGCGGCCTTCTGGGAAATGTAGTCTGCAACGCCCAGAAATCACACCTGTAATCCCAGCACTTTGGGAGGGAGACCGAGGCGGCTGTATCACCAGAGGTCAGGAGTTCGAGACCCTCCTGGCCAACATGGTGAAACCCCCATCGCTACTAAAAATGCAAAAATTAGCCGGGCGTGGTGGCAGGCGCCTGTAATCCCAGCTACTTGGGAGGCTGAGGGAGGAGAATCGCTTGAACCCGAGAGGCAGAGGTTGCAGTCAGCCGAAATTGCGCCACTGCACTCCAGCCTGGGCAACAAGAGCAAAACTCCATCTCAAAAATAATAATAATAATAATACACCCGGCCGGGCGCGGTGGCTCAAGCCTGTAATCCCAGCACTTTGGGAGGCCGAGGCGGGTGGATCACAAGGTCAAGAGATCGAGACCATCCTGGTCAACATGGTGAAACCCCCATCTACTAAAAATACAAAAAATTAGCTGGGCATGGTGGCACGTGCCTGTAATCCCAGCGACTCAGGAGGCTGGGGCAGGAGAATTGCCTGAACCCAGGAGGCGGAGGTGGCGGTGAGCCGAGATCGCGCCATTGCACTCTAGCCTGGGTAACAAGAGCGAGACTCCGTCTCAAATAATAATAATAATAATAATAATAATACACCCAGAAAGCTTAGAAGTTCTGATTTGGGAAAAGTTGAAAAATTTCCCAGCACCTGTGCCTCCTCCAGACGGTTCTTGGAAATACAGCCCCGAGCTGGAAATGCCTCTAGAAAGTGTTAGGTAGGATGTGAGATTTTGGGGGCATTTCAGTACTGCCCGTCCCCCCACCCCCGCATTAGATTGGGGGAGGGTCCAGACACGTGTGTAGGGATCTTGAGTAGGTTCCATGGAAGTGACCCGGTCCTGGCATGGTCTGTGCCAAGGCTCTCTCTGTACCTGCGGGACTTTGTGTTTTGTTCTCTGATGCTGTCCCTGTCTTGAGAGCACTGCCTGACTCTTCGAATGTCTCTGTGAGTGTTATCTTGAGACTGCCCCTGTGATCGTGACCTGGCCTTTTGTTGTTTCTGTTGGTGATGTGGTTTCTACCTGTGAGATTGTTTCCTGGGTGTTAGGTTTTCAAGGAAAGGCAAAGGTTAAAGACACACACACACACACACACACACACACACACACACACACGCAATGGCTGGACAGCAACACAGGCATGTTGCAGACACTTCAGAAGTGGGGGACCAGCTTGATACCAGAGTCTGCTCTGGCTTAAAGTCTGGGGTAGGTATGGGCAGGAGGGGCCTGAGCAGTATGGCTTGCTGCTGGGCAGGATATTGACAAGATGTTTTTATGCTCAGGCGGTTTGGCCCTTTTTCTGCTGGGATGCCATCAGGGTGTTCCTTGAACCTTTGTCCAGCAAGATATTATAGGGATTTTTTTTTTTAAGTTGGGCTTTGCCTGGTAGGGTATGATGAGGATGTTTCTTTTGGGTTGTTTTCTGCCTTGTGGTCAGCTGGTGGGGCAGGATGTTTCTCACGGCCCCAACCCCCATGGAATGCTTCACTTTGACCAAGTCTGCAAAATAGCAGGGGGCTTACAAAAGGGTGCAATTTAGACTAGCACTGGGGTGTGAGATGCTTTGTCCGAAAAAGTATATGCAGATGTTGGAATAGAACCCAATGGTGGCTGTGTCTGATTTGAGATTGTGTGGGCTTATCAGGGAGCCTCCTGGAGTTGAGGCAAGGGAGGGTGCCTGTGAGGTTTTTGGTCTTGATTATGCCATGGATGAGATTGTATGTTTTTATGAACATGTGGCTAAGACTACTGTATAAAGCACCCTTGACATACGTAACTCCACCTTAGGAAAAGACTCTGTCTTGCATTCCACAGGACACTTTCCAACAGGGACAAGATGTTTTGCTTAATAAACAAATAATAAAGACTGCATCCAACCAGACAAGGACATAAACAAGCACATTCTTCTACTATCAGTCCCTCCCAGAGGACTCTTCCCATAAAAACAGCAGGGCTTCAGCAGCTTGGAATGACCATCTTCACTGAGAACTGTCCTGCTGTCATTGGCGATAAGAACTTGGCATCTGCTGCTAAAGCCTCTGCCCACATCAAAGACTTCTCTTTGGGAGACCAAGACCGGATGGGCCTGCCCAGCCCTGACCAGGAGATTCTTTTTTTCTTTGTTGCTCTCCCTAGATTGAGTTATTAACCCTTTCTCCTATGTCTTTTCTCTTGATGTTAAACATTACTTTGTTTACTATGAAATGTTTAATCTATAACAGTTATATATATTGATTAAGTACACTACTACGTGTGGTTTGCAATATTGACTGACTTGTGAAGTGGCTTGAGCCTGTGTGCCTGTGGCTCTCACTATGAAGTGAAAGAGCAGTACTGAAGAGAATTGCCTTATACGAGTCAGCGTTCGCCAGAGGGACAGAACTAATAGGATATATGTACATACACAAAAGGGAGTTTGTTAGGGAGAGTTCGCTTACACGATCACAAGGCGAAGTCCCATGTTAGGCCATCTGCAAGCTGAGGAAGAAAGAAGCCATTAGTGGCTCAGTCCAAGTCCAAAACCTCAGAAGCAGGGAAGCCAGGCATGCAGCCTTCAGCCTGTGGCCAAAGGCCTGAGAGCTCCCAGCAAACCAGCAGTGTAAGTCTAAGAGTCCAAAGGCCAAAGAACCTGGAATCTGATGTCCAAGGACAGGAGGAGCCGAAGGAAGCATCCAGCATGGGAGAGAGATGAAAGCCAGAACACTCAGCAGGCAAACGTGTCCCACCTTCCTCTGCCTACTGTGTTCTAGCCGAGCTGGCAGCCAATTGGATGATGTTCACCAACACTGAGTAGGGGTCTTCCTCTCTCCATCCACTGACTCAAATGTCAGTCTCCTCTGGCAACACCCTCATAGGCGCCCCAGAAACAATCTTTTGCCAGCTACCTAGGCTTCCTTTAATCCAACCAAGTTGATACCTAATGTTAACCATCACATGCCTCTTTGGGAACTCCATGCAGCTCATGGCTTTTGTGATTGAAACAGCATCAATAAAAGCCTGCCATTGTGGAAAGATACAAAGTATGTGGACCTGGTTATCTCTGACTTTAAGCCACTCTTGGGAATGGTGTGGTCAGCAGATTTGAAACTGCATGGGGAGAGTGATGAAGACATAAAGAGTCTCCTGGTCTGGGCAAGTCTGTTGGTCCTGCAAGAAAGAACCTTTGATGTGGGTAGAAACTTTGGCAGCAGATGTCAAGTGCTTATCACGAATGACAGCGGGATGATCGTCAGTTAAGACGGTCATTTAGAGCTGCTGAAGCCCTGATCGTTTTATGGCCAGAGTCCTCTGGGGAGGCTGATAGTGGAAGAATGTGCTTGTTTATGTCCTTATCTGGTGGGATGCAGTCTTTATTAGTTATTTACCAAGTGAAACATCTTGTCTCTGTTGCCAAAGTGCCCTGTGAAATGTAAGATAGAGTCTTTTTCTAAGATAGAGTTACGTATGTCAAGGGTGCTCTATACAACCACTAACAACTCTACAACTACGATACAATTCCATACAACAGCCATTTTCATTTTGATGGTTGTGCGGTTGTGTGCATTTTCTAGTGGGTATACAGAGCTCTGTTGGGGGATTTGTCAAATGGCGTTGCAACTCAACTACTGTTCGTAGCTGGGGATGAGTGGTTGTGATGATCTTAACCTACTCTACCAGGTGTGCCTGTCAGATTATATCTCTCTGAGTGTGTAATCGTGAACATGAGCCCAGCCTCATCTGAAACAAAGGGAATAATGCTGTTTCTTTTGAGAACATTAAACTTGTTAAAAGTATAGGCATGAAATTCTCCATTTATCTGGCGCTAATGTAGACATTTTATATTGAATCAATATATTTTTATGGAGTTGTGTGTTGTAAGTCAACACAACCTGTTTTTTAATTTTTAAATAAGAAAGAAGAATAAAAAACGATGACAGTTTAATCAATCCAAAGGAAGCAATAAAAAAGCAGCAGCTTGTACAAGCTGTGAAGAGTTCGCTTCCATTTTCTTGTGCTGTTTCGGGGCCTGGGTAACTATGTTTAAGGACTACAGATGTAACTTTCCACCTGGACATAGGTTTAGAGCCGAGAGTCAGGAAGTCAGGGACCCTCCTGGATGTTGGGTGAGGCATCTTTATCTTTTAATTCTCTGAACAAGAAAGTCGACTCAGAAAACACAAGTACTCTGTTTAAGTAAGAGTCTCCAGTTTATCCTTCAGAAACTATTTGCATTTTTTAAAACCATAGGCAATAAATACTTTTTTTTTTTTTTTGAGATGGAGTCTCCCTCTGTCACCCAAGCTGGGGTGCAATGGCGCAATCTCAGCTCACTGCAACCTCTGCCTCCTGGGTTCAAACAATTCTCCTGCCTCAGCCTCCCAAGTAGCTGGGATTACAGGCATCTGCCACCATGCCCAGCTAATTTTTGTATTTTCAGTAAAGACAGGGTTTCACCATGTTAGCCAGGCTGGTCTCGAACTCCTGACCTCAGGTGATCCACCCGCCTCAGACTCCTAAAATGCTGGGTGTGAGCCACCACGCCCGGCTATAAATACATATTTTTATGAGCAGTCTAAAATGCAAAACTAGCCTGCCACATCTTAGTTAGGACCTGGTTTCCATGTTGCAATTTGTTCCCTTTGAATATTTAAATACCTTCTGTTTAACAGAATTTCTTTTTACTCTACAATGTGGTAGTTAGCAAATGATGAGCAGTAGGTGGATGTGGGAGTTAAGAATTTCTTTTCTACCTTAGTTCCAAGAAATATATCAAATGTCCATAAGGAGGATTTTTTCTAACGATTGTTTTGTTCTTTTTTTCTGTAAGAGGCCCTCTCTGATGACACTATAAGTGTTTTTTGTTTGTTTTTTTGTTTCTGAGATGGTCTCACTCTGTCACCCAGGCTGCAGGCTGAAGTGCAGTGGCATGATCTCAGCTCACTGCAACCT